CCCCAGGCCATGGGCGTAGGAAGCATCCTCAATAGAGAACCGCAGTGACGCGTCCTAAAAACCTGAAGTAAACTCCTTCCGGTTCCTTCGTCAAAAAGCAATGCAATTTCTCCATAGGATTTTGGAAAATAGCTCGAAATAAGGTCTGTGGTTGACACACTTTTAAGAGATGGATCACGTTTTGTTCAGCCGGATAATATCCACATACTTTTATAATTTTCGAATCATAAATCTAGCCGCCAGAAGCAAAATGCTAACGTTATGCTATAAACGAACTACAGCAGGGTCGCTGCTTCAATGTTACGCCCACATAAGATCCATATTCAAACATACAGATTCTAAATGGAACAAGTTGAAGTGTTTGTTTGAACAGTTTGCAGGAGGCAGGTACTTGCTTTCAAGCAGAACAGGGCAAACAAACTTAGAGGAGTGTTTACGTGTTCGGTGTAATGAAGTAAAACGGCCTCGACAACTTCTGTAGTCCTATTCAGCCACTTGTTAACAACCATCGTTTTTCAGACACGTAAACTCTTCAAAAATCACCAGTGGGGTCACTGCTGATGTATTTAATGTCGTAGAACAAAACGTGATCTGTCTCTTCAATTTGTGTCAAACACAGACCTTATTTCCAGATATTTTCCAAAACCCTATGAAATCCCATTGCTTTTTGTCGAAGGAACTGGCAGTGGTAAAAATGCTAACGATTTTAGGACGTGTCACTGCGGTTCTCTATGTGGGTGGGACAATTTGACAGGGGGTGTGGCGGGTGGTGGTTTTTAAATATTTAAGTTAAATGCATCAATCTGCTGCACTTTGAGAGCAAAATTAGGGACTAAATCTATGGATACATCTCTCAACATCACCCATGTGAAACAGAACTGTAAACAGACTTACTTTTTCTTTATGCATATTTTACAAATCATTCCCCTTTTATAGTATGAGTTGGAATTATTTCATACCTGTTATTCTGTTATTTTTTATAACTATAATGACCATATAAAGGTGTGCCTTGGAAATACTTATTTACATAAATGATTGCCAAATCGTTTGAGACCCACTACTTAGACTAAATGTAACTATCTAAACACTCAGAGAGTCCTTCACCTCACTGAGCTGTAGTTATCAGCCTCTCAGTCTGACAGGAGAGGACTCTCCCTCCACCTCTTTAATAACAGCGCCTTATATGCGGGTGCTAGTGGAGCACGCTCGTGAACTGTTAGCGCCGGAGCCTCGCAGCGTGGAAATGATTTTACAACTAAAGACACAGCTACACAAAAAACGCAGCATGTGTACGGCTCTGAGAATCTGCCTTGGTACAAAGTAGCAGTGAAAACATGGCACGGAATATCATTGATTTGGGCTTTCTGATAATAAGCCCAGTGGAATGGATTTGATAGTGAAGCACTGACACAGCGCTCTACAAAGAGTGGCGAGTGGATAGACCGATTCACAGACTTTCCGCATAGTAAAAGTGGGGGGGTCTAAACTAATCATTTTAAAAGGTGGGGGGGGACTTGTCCCACCCTCATATAATGGCTGCGACGCCTATGCCCCAGGCTCTGGAACGACCATGTCAAATTGTCGCCCACTCTTGAAGCTTTTAAGTCCCGCCTAAAGACCCACTTCTTTTCCCTCGCTTACGAGTCAGTCTGAGCCATGGCACTACCTATTTGTATGCTTTTATTGTCTGTCCTTTATGTGCCTTGTATCTATTATCATGTGTGCCTTTTATCTATTTGTGTAATATTATATTTTATTATAATGTTATGTTCATTGTAAAGCACTTTGGCAAACCCTGTTTTTAAAATGTGCTATAAATAAAGTGGATTGGATTTTGTTCTTAAATATTGCTTTTCACATTGCATTATTCGAGTTATATGATGTATAACATAATAGTGTAAACGTTACAGTTAGCTATTAAACAAGCCGTGAAATGTGAATGTGTATTACTTGATACTGAATGTATATAGCTTTTATATGCATGTCGTGAATGTATTTCTGTATCTGCGGTGCACGCAGTCATTCACAATTAATACAGTGAGTAATAGATATTTATTTATAAAAATAAATAAAAGCAACACTGAAGTAGACAAGAGTTACAAATCTACAATAAAACCCTCTTTCCTTTATCAAACATTCTTTCAAAATATAAACTTTAAAACACACACATATATATATATATATATATAACACCTACATTACCGTCTTTTCAACATTTACTCAATGCTGCTGCTGGTTTAATTGATGTGTTATGATGCTAGGTGGAATGATTTGTAAACTACTAGTTACACCGGTATAAGTACAGGTTTGTGTTACTGCAGGCCTCATTACAAAAGGTTTAAACATTTATGGCACATTTCCACTGCAGGGCCTCGCACGGCATAGTTAGGCCTTGGTAGGCCAGACTCACTTTATGCTGCGTTTCCATTACAGTTTAGGAACTGGGGCAGTAACTATAGTAACGCAGTGTAGGCGGAGCCGTGACGTCATCTTCAATGCGAAACACAAAACCAACATCAGCCGTTAGCTGTTAGCCCTCAGAGCTCACAGCTCCTCATATCTGTTCAGAAACTAGACAAAAGTTAAACAAGTACAAACCACAGACTGTCTGTGTCATGGAGAATACAGTCGCTGGTTTATTTATGTATAAAGGTTTTTCGACTGCCGTCCGTCTGCAGACTTGTCAAAGCATTAATTCATGTTTTTTACTAACCGGTATCAGTATGTTGTTACTTCGGCATCATTTTGAAACGTGTATTACAATTAGATCACGGTCAAATATGTTCATTTTGTTGTAGTTGTAGCCCCCTTGCCAGCGATTCTCTCACTAGTTTAGCATACTCAGCCCGGTTGTTGGCCCGGAATAACCTCAATTTTGGAGAGCCAGAAAACTGTGAAAAAGTACCCGCTAGCCGGAACTACGCCAGTGGAAACGCAACAAAAAACGGGCACGCCACGCTATAAACCGTGCTGTAGTGGAAATGCACCATTAGAGTCCGGTTAGCTTATAGTTAGGCTTAGCAGCTAAATCATTTAGGCTGATGGTAAAGTTAAGCAGCTTAAAAAACGTGTTTTAATTTAGCTAAACATAATTTCACCTAGAACACAGTTTTGTTAAGGTTTCTTAACAGACTGATTTACCTCCTAAAACATTTTGATAAGGTTAGCTAGGAAGTTAGCTCACTTTTACTAGGCTAAAGGTTCAGTTCAACGGAGAACAGATTTGGTTTTGTTTCGAAAATGGTTCGATTTAAAGCAGCTACATTTCTTTATAAGGATTACTTTACATTTTTTTTATATTTGGTAACAGTCCAGCCACATCTTCCTTTATCAGTTTAATAGTTAGCTAATTGTTCTGTTATACAGCCTAAACAGCTTGGTGAAGTTTAGATAACAGTAGAGCGGCTACATTATCTTAATAAGGGTTAGCTAACCGATTGAATAATTGAGCTTATTAAACAGTTGGCTTCTTTGTTTTATCCTGCTTGATTCTGGTTTGTTAACAATATAGTTTAACAGCATTTAAAATACATTAACGCTAGATAGCAACTTCATTTAGTGCCAATACGTCATTTAGCAGTTTAACAGTTTTGTTTGGCTTAACAGCTTTTAAAAGATTGTTTTAGTTTAACTCTATGCATCATCACCTCAGGTTTGTTAAAGGTGGGGTAGGTAATTCACTTCAGAAACACTTTTTGTTATATTCCATGGAATGCTCTTAACATCCCGATAGCAATGAATACATTAAATGCTTTGACAATAAATACATTACAAAAATGTCATCTGTGGAAGCCGTGGCGCTGTAAAAAGCACGACCAATAATCTGAACCGGCCCGGCTAAAATAACTGGATGGCCTACCTGCCTGTCAGCCTTCCATCTGTGCACAAACTTATCTCGTGACCTCATTGGTCTTGTGCGCAATTGTGGGTGTTGGATGAGGGGCTCTGTAAGGAAGTCTGAAGGAAGGGGCAGATTTTTTTCAGCTGCGTACTTTCAAATTCTAGCGCACTCGAGCTGGTTTCTCCATTCTTACCTACCCTACCTTTAACAGCTCAGTTTATTTCCTAAAACATTGTGAACAAGTTAGCAAATGTTTTATCTTAGGTCCACTTGGCTAGAGGTTCACTTTACTTAACTGGATTTTATGAAAACTGGAGCAGAACACTTGTCATAATATATGCTGCGTTTTTTTTAAAAGAAACATTCAAATATACTTTAGGGCAATGTACAAATTACTTCACACAGTCCAACAGGTCAGCTTATCAAGAGCTGCTTACAATCAACAATCATTTCCCTTTAAACCCCCGCAATAACATCAACATCATCACAATCACATTCCACTAAACTGCCTCGCAGCAAATTATACACTTTAAATATTCAATCAAAAAGAAAAAAGAACAAATAAACAAATACATTTAAAACATAACAGATGGCAGGAAAACTTGAAATATCTTTTAAAAAGTGCGATTGCAGAGAAGGATTAATGCAGTCGGACAGTTTGGAAAAGTTAGCATCAAAACACTATCCAAGGTGTAAACTCATAGGAGTGCAGTACAGGGTAAAGTCCAGCAGGTGGTTAGCCTAGCTTAGCACAATGACTCGAAGCCATGGATGTATAATAAGAACTGGATACAGCGTGGGAGGCGGGGTCTCGTTCTTTCCTATGAGAGCTGCTCATTGGCGCATGATGGCAAAATGGCCCAACTTTTGAGAGAGCGAAACGTCACAGATTCATGCCTGACCATGACCATCATGCCTGGCTAGAGCATGCGCAGTTGAGTTGCTCCTTCAGCCCCGCCCCCCGAGCTCCCACTCTCGGCTCACTAGAATGAATGGAGAGAGAACATAAATCTAGATTCGGCTTTTAGTGCATTTTACAACTTTAAGGACTTAATGATTATAATAAGGGCTATAAAATAGATCATACTGGGTAGCTTATTTAGTTAAAAAAAAAAGTATCCACCGATTTACAGACGTCTCTTTCCCCATGTTAGTCAATGGGAAAAAGTTGTTTTGGGCCGGGTGACGTCACGGACTGATACAGGAGTTGCAGTACCGCCGTTTGGACACAACGGATGTTGGGCACAGAGTCCGGCTCACTTCCTGGGGGCTTGCTGGAAGCAGGTGAAAATGCTAGCCTAGCTCCAAGTGAAAATGTATATTTTCAAAATGATGTTTTTCCATAATCTTGTGCTAAAGATAAGTGGGTAAAAATGTTTCTGAAACTAGGATTTATAGATAAAGAATGTTTTGTAACATGTTACAATAATAATTTTTCTGTTTGTCGGTTGTTACGTATTGTCTTTTTATGAATGGTCAATTGCACGTTTTTATATCTACTTATTGAAAAACAAACCTTTGACAAAGGACTGAGCTGGAAGCAAAGATAAATGAAAAAGCACACGTCTAGAATAAAACAGAAAACCACAGAATTTTTTTGTAGAAAAACAGTCATCTCATATTTATGACTTGCCTGAAACACAAGAAAACTTTTGGTTAAGGGCTCAGCGGCCTCACCCCAAAGGGAAAATGTACAAATATTATCTAAATTAAATCAGGGGCAGAAACATGGTTTTCTTTGGGTTAAACCTTAAGTAAAAAAGTTGTGAGGTGATTATACCTCTTTCTTAGGACTGTGTGGACTATTATATTAATGGTAAGGTCTAAAAACACAATGTAAGTGTGAAGGGCCTTTTGTAAGCTTTTGTAATAAACACATTAAAGTATTTTAGGGGATGTTTTTGATTTTTCTTACAATAATTTACTGCATTTTGTACTGGTCCATTGTTTAAGTCTGATCTAAAAGTGTTTTCTTACCTGTGTTTATGACATAAAAACAGGTTAAAGCCAAGGTTTTGCTTTAAGTGAAAGCACTCAAACTGTCTGTTGTCATTTCATCGGTAAGAACTAGCTTTGGTTTGGAAAGTATGTAAGTTCATTGGCGGCAGTTAAGGAAAAATAAAGATGAAAACTTAGTGTCGTGATGGAAAAATAAAATCCTGTAAGTTATTATATAGTAAAAAATAACAAATTAATGACTTACTATCTTTAAAATAATGACTTATTTAAGTGTAACATTTATTTTAAGAAACCTACTCAAAATAATGAGAAACCGTCTTCACTTTCTGTTATTTTCTTTCTGCGCTTCAGTTGAATTTCGCCTACATTTCTAAACATCTGATTGGACGTGAGCTCTACCCAGGCCCCTCCCCTGTGTTGCTGTGATTGGCTGTCTTTGATCGGCCATTGCAGGAGCCGTTTCGTCCAATGGGAAGGAAAGGGCTGGACTCCGAGGTGATGACGATGCTCGGGATTCGACCAATCGTGCCTCTCCTCACGTGTACCTCCGCCACTTCTGTCTATTAGAGAAAAAAATACAGTGTTGTGTTTTAATGAAAAACCATGTTGTGATTTACACAAGCGGCAAACTCTGGGGCTGAGCCGGGAAGCCCATAAGGAAGTGCCACAAACTGCAGTTCATCTATTGGCCGGTAGAAGCAGGCTGCAGAAAGGAGCAATGTCCATAGACCCCCATGTTAAAATGCCCAACTTTACAGCAGAAATAAACGTGTTTCTACCCCTGGATGCAATACAAATTATTCTGGATATAGTCAGATTCCACCTTCATGACAACGGATTGGGGAGTGAATTTTTTCATAACGCACCCCTTTGAATTATATTAGGTCTTAACGTTTTTGCATAAATTAGGGCGTGGTCACGTTGATGGACAGGTCTCTGCGGTGACTGCTGCTTCTAGCTTTCTGTCCCTCTGCTAGCTCCGTTAGCTCTGTTAGCTCCAGGATGCTACAGGGGCTCGGCTGATCCGGGGAACACAACTTGAACTCGGACGTGTTTGTTGTGTTGGTGCCTGGTGCAGTGGCGGCACCAGAGATTTTCTCTAGGGGGTGCTGTGGGGTAGCTTGACGTTTCATAGAGGGTGCTCAAACATTTAGGGTTTCCCATTAATGCACCAGCGCTACAGTTGAATTTTCTACTGCAACACTCCCCACGCACACACACACAGTGCACCCGCGACTGTTACAATGAAGGCTCGATAATCAGCTCACGGCATATAGGCAGGGGTAAAGTGCTATTTTTACAAGTGGGGAGCGGACCTCACCTCCTCTAGGAGGGTCCTCACCTCCTCTAGGGGGGTCCGGGGGCTAGCTCCCCCGGGAAGATTTTTTTTTTAAATAATGAAGTTAAAAGCATCAATCTGGTGCACTTTGAGAGCAACATTAAGAGATCTATGGATACATCTCTCAACACCCATACGAAACAGAACTGTCAACAGATTTTCTATTTCTTTATAGATGTTTTACAAATCACTCCCCTTTTAAAACAAACCGTTTGAGACCCACTGAGATAACTAGACTAAAGTTAACTATCTAAACACTGAGAGAGTCCTTTACTTCACCTGAGCAGGGCTTGAATGAAACACAGAGACCCAGAAGTAAGCTACTTGTACTCACGAGGCCTATTATGTGCCAGAATCCCTCTCGCTTTCAGTTGGTTTTGATTGAGTGTCCACACGTGGACGTTTAAGGACTAAAAAACAATCAATTTTTCACTTTGCTGTTAGCAAATCATTTGGCGCTCTACAGTAGCTAACAGGAAGTCACCCAAGTGTCACAAAGTAATTTAGCCTATGGGTAGGTCAAAAATCGAATGGGTGCTGGCCATTGGCCTAATCATATCACCTGTGTTGGCTTTATGTTTTTGGTAAAAAATGTGTTTGTTTCACATATGCATTGATGTAATCAATAATATTTCTAATTTAATAAAAATAATAATAATAATCTTCGAAAAAAAAAAAAACACATATTTCTTGGGGGTGCTTAGGGGGTGCTTTGGCAATCCTGGGGGGTGCTTCAGCACCCCCTAGCTCCCCCCTGGCGCCGCCCCTGGCCTGGTGGAGTATTCTTCATTTAAATATCGGACTTATCTTATGCCGCCTCGGCTCCGCCTCTTTGCCCTTATTTGGATCAGGCTGGAGCAGGCGGGAGTTAGACTCTGGGTGTTTCTCAATGTCGAGTATGCTTGCTTGGTAGCACATGTCTTCCGAGTCACTTGCTTCAGAAGTGAGGCAAGAATACTTCCTGGCATTCGGAAAACGAAGAGTGGAAAAGGCGAGCAAGTGTGCAGGTGTGCGTCATATGAGAGGCCCCGCCTTACATTTTCCGCCACAGATTGGGGGAAATTGGTCCGTGCGCAAAGCATTGTGGGAATTTTAAGACCGCGGAGTCTACACATGTGCAGCCTCGAAATTTCTCGCTACGAAGTACGCCGGGCTCGGTAGAAATCCAAGTATGCTGGACATTGGAACAGTCGTTTGGCGGCACTCGATGACGTAGTATGCTTGAAATAGTGGCTCTGGAGCAGCTTTACTCGACATTGAGAAACACCATCTGACTTCACTGTCGAGATGGCAGCGGCCAACTTTGCCTACTAAGGGCTTCTCAGCAACTCTGCAGAAACCTATGGGTGCCGTCACGGACACTACGTCCATTTATATATACAGTCTATGGTTTTACATCTGCAAAAATGTTCACCTGACCTTATTGGCATTAGTTTTAAATAACAGAATAATTCAGTAAAACATTTTTTGAAATATATATACTAAATATAATTTTTTTACATGTATTAATTAGTTAATTTCAGAATTGTTTTATATATTGAGAAAAATATGTTCTTATGTATTACATTTTTTTGTTGTTGCATATTTGATAACCACTTGTGTCTGTCCTGATTAATTAATCAGACTCACATTTGGGACACTGCTGCGTTCACTGACTCCTGCCGTGGAAATATCAGGATCACAGGACGTCTGTAAGAAAAGACAACAGATTATTATCATTATTATTAATCTGCGACCTGCAGCAATGATGAAAATCCTCCTTTTTGTCACACTAGGACTTTAATATTCCTTAATTACATTTTAATCAAATGTATCAGGAAAATGCATCAAACTCTAATGAATTACCCAGAATTTGAAAAAAAGTCAATGATTAAGATCAGAGGGATTTTCTGGCCAGAGATGAAAAAGCACATCAAGCTGATTACAGAGCAGCAGATTAACATGAACACTGGTGTTATGAAAAGAAGATCTTCTGCTTTCAGACACAAACTGACCCCTGAAACGACCCAGAAACCCCCTCAGGTGACACTGAGTGAAACAGTATTAATCTACATGAAGAGATTTCTGGAACAAGTCTTTAAACGTCCTGTTGTGTGATCTGTCTGAAGGTCGACCAGAACTAAAGCTTCAATGTGCAAATTCTATCTTTTTAGGCAAGTTCAAATGTTTAGTTCTGCTCCTGTCAGATCTCATTAGAGTTGCAATTGGGAGAAAAATGATCACCGAATATTAAACACTGACAAACCAGTATTTGTTCATGCAAAAAATGCTGTTTTCAGACCCTCAAATAAGGAGATTTATGCTTTTCTCAGTTTTACCTTTGTGATAAAACAAGATATTTAAAGACATGGGATGGATATTTTTCACTCTTTTTATGCATTTTATGGACCAAACCACTAATGATACAACAATCATGTAGGCAAATGTTCTTTTAAGCTTCTCTAATATGGAGATGTGCTGCTTTTCTCAGTTGATATCATATTGAAATTCACATCATTTGGTTTTGGAGTGACAAAACAAGACATTTTCCTGACATTTTATACACCAAACTATTAATCTAGAATAGAATATGCACATAATAAAATTGCACTCCTTTGAATCTTATAATATTTGTTTACATTGCTTTAAACTGAGGACATAAAAACAAGTAAACTACGTCTCCCATGGTGCATTTCATCAACAAACATCCAATCACAGAGCTTAACATTTTCTTCAAATTCACATTTTGTAGATTTAATTCATTCATATTCAACATTCAACGGTTTTGGAGCACACCTACATTTTTCTGGCCGGCAACAAATTAGCATTACAGGCTATTTTTGATATCTGCTGCCTCAAAACCTGGCAATATCAAGAAAAAAATATGCTTCATCTTGCTGCAGACAATACAAATGTTATTGCATTACAGTTAAAACACTGTTTTGGTTCTTCACAGTTAAAGTCTTCCATCAGATTACAAGTAAAACCTTGTGTCTGTTCTCAATAAAAGCCTTCCTTTGATGCAACTAATCAACAACCACATTTAAAGTACCTAGAAGAAGCATTACCTTTTCGAATATCCCCGAGTCGTGGCTCTTGATCTTGGACGTGAAGCTGGCGGAGGGTTTGAACTCTGGGAGCTCAGCGGTGTCTCTGCTGATGTCACAGGAGACCTGGCGGCTGGCGGGTCGCGACCCCATGCTGGACCCATCAGCCTCGATATCTGTCAGACCCTGCGGAGGAAAAAACAATTAAACACGCCCAATCCCTTATCTCCCGATATACTTCCACTAAATGTGAGTGTTCACGTGGAGGGTCCACCACATTGATGACATGTTTTTGTACCCATACATTTAGCATCTCCCTGGTTCCCTCCACTAAAAGCCAGTGGCATCACCTTTATGATTCAATTCAAAGGTTTGATTGTCATATGCACAAAGCTACAGTGTAGAAATGGCAATAACATTCTTCTGACCTGAGCTCCTCCAACAATACAACATATATGATAAAATTAAAAAAAATACAATATAAAAAGTAGTGCAAAAAGTCTATATGATACTTACACGTTAGGATCATTTCCACATATTAACACCACTTCAGCATTTTTGAAGTGAAATGCAAATGTTAGGCTATAAAGGAACTACAGCACAGTCACATGATTTCACTTCACTAATGGCGCATTTCCACTGCAGCGCGTAGCACGGTTTAAGCGTGCCGTGCCAAACCCGGCCCGTTTTTTGTTGCGTTTCCACTAGGGGTAGTTCCAGCTAACGGGTACTTTTTCACAGTTTTCTGGCTCTCCAAAATCCAGGTTCTTTCCGGGCCAACAACCGGGCTGAGTATGCTAAACTAGTGAGAGAATCGCTGGCAAGGGGGCTACAACTACAACAAGATGAACATATTTGACCGTGATTTAATTGTAATACAGGTTTCAAAATGATGCCGAAGTAACAACATACTGATACCGGTTAGTAAAAACCATGAATTAATGCTTTGACAAGTCTGCAGACAGACGGCAGGCGAAACACCTTTTAAAATGCGTGTTTTCTGAATGGAGCTTGGCTAAGCTAACAAGTATATGCTCCGACCGTCCACACTCACAACAACGGCCTAAAGACATAAATAAACCAGCGACTGTATTCGCCATGACACAGGCAGTCTGTGGTTTGTACTTGTTTAACTTTTGTCTAGTTTCTGAACAGATATGAGGAGCTGTGAGCTCTGAGGGCTAACAGCTAACAGCTAATGGCTGATGTTGGTTTTGTGTTTCGCATTGAAGATGACGTCACGGCTCCGCCTACACTGCGTTACTATAGTTACTACCCTTCAGGAATAGAAGGGGAACAGGAAGTGCTGATAATCCTGACTAATTCCTTGGTTGTAGGACTCATTCCTGCAGCTCTCTGTTGGAAGCTCTAATAATGCTATGACGTCATGGCTCGTGTGGATCCTAGCTCACCGATTCGCTGTCGGAGACGGAGGAGAGGCGGGACTTGCTGTAGCTCTGTGACTTCACGTGGCTGCTGATGTCGGAGGTCTGGCTGGTGACGGTGGAGCGGCGCGTCGACACGAAGCTGCTGCTGGCGGAGCGGAGGTCTCGAGGATGGACGCAGAGCAGAGTGCCGAAACCGGGGATGTACTTCGCTAACGCTATCCTGCACAGAGCAAGAAGGAAAAAAATTGTTTTCTGTGCAGATGATGTATTTGGTCGATATGATATGAAGACAATGATAGCTAGTGCACAGAGTAAGCCAAGAAAGAAAGCGTCATTTAGTATCCAAATATGTATATATGTTCATTTGAATTAATTTCTTATTTTAAAGTTACTTACCTGTATCTAATTTTATTTGTATCTTTAATTGTATTCATCTCAAATCTGTGTGAATCTGTACTGTCCTGTTTTTCATTCTTAGCCTGTTGCTGTTAAACTACTGAATTTCCCCACGGGGATTAATAAAGGTTCATCTTATCTTATCACCTCTGTATAGTAAGTAATACAAATAACTTAAAAATATTAACTGCAAATCAATGCAGCAATGTCATTCCACCCTGGGCAACTAGGACAGACCTCCTTTTATAGGACTTATATATGAATATAATAATAAAAAGTCTACATAATAACTATAACTTTAACTCCAAATAAATTCAACACTGTTTAAGTACAGAGGACAAGTAGGACACACCTGTTTAAATATCATTTTAAGTGTTTCCTTTTCCTATTTTGTAGGAATATTGTTATGGAAATGTCGCTGTATGTTGTTGTTCTTGGGTCTCATTAGCTGTGTCTTTTTAATGTTTTGTAAATCACACCTCTTCTTGCCTTTTTGTTTGCATATTTGTCTAATGCCTGTTGTCTGTTTGTTGTGTACATGCAGAAATTGGTGAATAATAGAGGAACATTTAATTCAACAAGCTACGAATATGCATTCATTACGACATCATAAAAGACATTGACAGCCTTGTAATGTTTGAATCTGCCAATGTGAGGGATGGCCTTCAGATTTCCCTTTTATTAAATATAAGAGCCATCCAGTCAATATTAGATGAATGTGACCTACAGTTATATAAGCTGTTTTCTTTCCATCCTGCAGCTTTAGACTCTCACCGAGTGTATGTGTGTGTGTGTGTGTGTGTGTGTGTGTGTGTGTGTGTGTGTGTGTGTGTGTGTGTGTGTGTGTGTGTGTGTGTGTGTGTGTGTGTGTGTGTGTGTGTGTGTGTGTGTGTGTGTGTGTGTGTGTGTGTGTGTGTGTGTGTGTGTGTATAATTGTCTCCAGTCCAGTTAACATTCAGGTTCATTGAGCAGCGGTTGTTCTGAGGTGTTGGAGCGGATCAATGAGCATGTTAGCAGGCAGGTCAACAGAAAGGTCAGATCCAGGAACAGATTCAACTTTCATGTATTTCATTTTCTTTTAATTAGTGGACGGAGATGATCATCTGCTAAAAGCCTTTTGACCTGTAAGGAGGCATTGTTTGCAGTGTGTGTGTGTGTTACCTGTATTTTGGGTGTGTGATGGCGTAGATGATGGGGTTGTGGATGGCGGAAGCCTTGGCGATGACGGCGGGCACAGAGTTCATGTAGGGGGTCAACATGTCTGCGTACCTGCAGCGGGAAATAATAATGATAACTTCCAAGTTAAGTTTATTTCTGATACATTGGGCCTCATACATTTAGATCAATATCCTATTCTTATCTTCAAATGTAACTCTTTATTCGTACGTACATGCATGCACTGTTAACAAATGACCCGCGTTATCATGATTAAAATGTTAAGTTTAGAAATGAAAGACTTTCTTTTTGGATTTCCAAAATCAAGGCGTGAAGATTCTCCTTTTTTTTAATGACTTTTATTCAATAAATTAAATATCAATTTCAACAAGCCACTTAAAGGTGGGGTAGGTAATTCACTTCAGAAACACTTTTTGTTATATTCCATGGAATGCTCTTAACATCCCGATAGCAATGAATATATTAAATGCTTTGACAATAAATCCATTAAAAAATGTCATCTGTGGAAGCCGTGGCGCTGTAAAAAGCACGACCAATCATCTGAGCCGGCTAAAGTAACTGGATGGCCTACCTGCCTGTCAGCCTTCCATCTGTGCACAAACTTATCTCGTGCCCTCATTGGTCATGTGCGCATTTGTGTGTGTTGGAGGAGGGGCTCTGTGAGGAAGTCTGAAGGAAGGGGCAGATTTTTTCCAGTTGCGTACTTTCAAATTCTAGCGCACTCGAGCTGGTTTCTCCATTCTTACCTACCCCACCTTTAAGAATGAATTGTGGCTCCTGCATGATGTGTCTGTGTGTGTGTGTGTGTGTGTGTGTGTGTGTGTGTGTGTGTGTGTGTGTGTGTGTGTGTGTGTGTGTGTGTGTGTGTGTGTGTGTGTGTGTGTGTGTGTGTGTGTGTCTGTGTACCCTGCGAAGGCGGTGAGAGCGACGGCGGAGTAGGGGGACCAGGACACGACGTACAGCAGGATGACGATCAGAGCGATCTTCGCCAACTTCCACTCGCTCTGCACACGCTGGAACTTCTTCTTCGAGTCCCGAGTGCTGCCGTGACTGTGGATGCTGCCAGACATCCCCACAGCCCTGACACACACACACACACACACACACACACACACACACACACACACACACACACACACACACACACACACACACACACACACACACACACACACACACACAACGAACATCCAGTTACTTTAAGCCTTAAACACAGACAGAAACAAATATCAATGTGAATCAAACACTCAGACTGACTGGGTGGTGCTGCGAATGGCGCGGAAGATGAAGAAGTAACAGTAGATGATGATGAAGAGTGGTAGGAAGAAGACGAAGATGAAGAGCAGCATGGTGTACGCTCGCACCGACGGGGTGAAGGTCATGTAGTCCCAGCTGCAGGACGTCAGCAGACCCTCAGGGACATACGCACCTAAACGCCAACAACACATAGAGAGAGATCAGCTGCTTTATCTGAGGCTACATTACATAATGATTGTTTGATTATATCATATTGTAACGTTGTACCACCTTGTGCTTCTTCAAAACCGTAATTCAATGGAGACATTTTTTCAGTTTTCCAAGATGAAAGTCTCAATTTTAAAGAAAGAATTTGGATATTCCTTAAACAAAGTCATAAGTTGTAATTGTATAGTCACACATTTATTGGAATGAAATTGGGTGTTTTCTTAGATTCAAGAGTAGTTTTTCAAAAATAAAAATATTATATAACATATATTTAATATTCTCTGACATGTATATGGCGCTGAGGGAGGGTGGGGTACAATTATGTGAACAAACTCCTACAAGGAAGTGGTGTACTTACACATTTACAAGGAACAAATGTCACTATTTTTGTGAAAAACACTGAAAAATGTTGGGAGATATTTGTTGAAACAAATTGTGTATTCTCCTAGATTTAAGTGGTAAAGTTGGGAAAAACTCAAACATTTACGATAAAAAAAGGCTATTCTCTGAGTTGTGTTTTCGCAGAGAATGGAAGACAATTCTCATTTTAGTCAAAACAGTCACAAGAGAGACAATCGGATATTATCTGATATTCAAAGTAGTAAATGTATGAGTAAATCATCTCTCAGTTCTGACAACACATTTCTACACCTGGAAAGTATTTTCTCACACAGAGGGAGACTTACGGGAGATTTCCTGTTTCCTTACACTATAATCTACACAGAGACACAGTCTGATGAGGAAAATGAGAACCAGGTGTGTGTGTGTGTGTGTGTGTGTGTGTGTGTGTGTGTGAACTTGAACTGAAACTGAACTGATAATAAATGGGATTTGGAGGCAAAGTGAACAATAAGTTTGATGAGATAGAGAAATCTTTGAAGAACAGAGCAGATTTATGTGCAGCCGATTAAATCTTCAACATGGATGGTTTAATAAAAGGTCAGAGGCCTTCACCTGCAACATATTATTCAAAGAGACACGGACCAACAACAAAAAGACTACAAAAAGACTACAAAGAGACACAAAATGATTTAATAGAGACACAAAGTGAGTTAATAGAGACATAAAGTGAGTTAATAGAGACACAAAGTGAGTTAATAGAGACACAAAATGATTTAATAGAGACACAAAATGACAAAGGGAAACAAAAGGAGTACAAAAAACAAAAATGCCGTAAAAGAAAAAAACTAAATTACTACAAGATGACACAAAAAGACACAACATGACTCCAAAGAGACACACACAGAAAATCAACGACAAACAAAACAACACAAAATGACTACAAAGACACGCAGAGATATGTCAAATTACTAGTAAATGACACAAAGACACAAAATGAGTACCAAAAAACATACAATTAATACAAAACACAGAGAGAGAGACAAAATGATTAATAAGACACAAAATGATTGCAAAGAAACACAAAGAGATACAACATTAGGCGCTTTCACACCGGAGTACTTTTCCCAGGAATAGTTCGGATAGTTCTTGGGATTTTGCGTTCACACCAAAAAGATCTGGAACTAGAACCTAGTTCATGCGAACCTTTTCACCCCCAGATAGTCCCTGCTCGAGAGGTAGTACTTTCCTGGGGAGAAAAAGGTTCCAATTTCTGATTGGCTGGGCGAATTGCAAACCACGTCCCGTAAAAAGTTTTGTGAAGCCGCCATTTTATTTGCTCGCATTAGCATTATTAGCATTAGCCCAGCGCACCAACGGAGAGAGACTAACTTATGGCAACACAAAATAAAACGTGGGATCGGTGGAGTGATGAGGAGGTGTCTGCGCTTCTGGCGATTTACCTGAGACTTCGGGCGGCAGTATACGCCGTGAAGTTGTTTGCGGCCTGCCAGTAAAGAAGAAGAAGAAGAAGAAGAAGAAGAAGAAGAAGAAGAAGAAGAAGAAGAAGAAGAAGAAGAAGAAGAAGAAGAAGAAGAAGAAGAAGAAGAAGAAGAAAGAAGAAGAAGAAGAAGTGACGTCAGCGGCTTCATTTGCGTAATCCTCCCTCAGGGACTTATTCCGGTGTGAACGCGATCTGCTACGACAGTTCCGGGACTAAAGAGTTCGGCGGGACTAAGTGCTGGGAACTACGTACGGCAAAGTACTTGGTGTGAAAGCGGCTATTGAGACAAAGAGACACAAAATGACTACAAAAAAACAAAAAATGAATACAAGGAAACCCAAAACTCTACAAACACACAAACAGACATACAACATGATAACAACTCAAAAGATTACACAAAATGACAACAACATACAACATTTAAAAAATGACTTAAAAGTGACACAAAAAGACAGAAAATGACTACAATATTAAAACAGAATGTGTGTGTGTGTGTGTGTGTGTGTGTGTGTGTGTGTGTGTGTGTGTGTGTGTGTGTCCTCACTCCAGCCGAAGAATGGCGGCAGGCTCCAGGCCAGCGAGTAGGTCCAGGCGCCCATGAGGATGAAGAACGCTCGTCTTCGTGACAGCACCCCGATGGAGGTCAGAGGTCGGGTGATGACGAAGTATCGGTCGATGGCGATCACCATCAGCGTGATCATGGAGCAGATCCCGAAGAGAGCGCCACAGAACGCATACAGCTCGCAGCCTGAAGACACACACATGGAGACACGCACATGGAGACACGCACATGGAGACACGCACATGGAGACACGCACATGGAGACACGCACATGGAGACACGCACATGGAGACACGCACATGGAGACACGCACATGGAGACACGCACATGGAGACACGCACATGGAGACACGCACATGGAGACACGCACATGGAGACACGCACATGGAGACACGCACATGGAGACACGCACATGGAGACACGCACATGGAGACACACACATGGAGACACGCACATGGAGACACGCACATGGAGACACGCACATGGAGACACGCACATGGAGACACGCACATGGAGACACACACATAGAGACACACACATGGAGACGCACACATGGAGACACACACATAGAGACACACACATGGAGACACACACATGGAGACACACACATAGAGACACACACATGGAGACACGCACATGGAGACACACAGATGGAGACACACACATGGAGACACGCACATGGAGACACGCACATGGAGACACGCACATGGAGACACACACATAGAGACACACACATGGAGACACACACATGGAGACACGCACATGGAGACACGCACATGGAGACACACACATAGAGACACACACATGGAGACACACACATGGAGACACACACATAGAGACACACACATGGAGACACACACATGGAGACACACACATGGAGACACACACATGGAGACACACACACATGGAGACACACACAGATAGAGACACACACACATGGAGACACACACATGGAGACACACACAGAGAAAGACACACACACATGGAGACACACACAGATAAAGACACACACACATGGAGACACACACATGGAGACACACACAGAGAAAGACACACACACACATGGAGACACACAGATGAAGACACACACATGGAGACACACACAGAGAAAGACACACACACATGGAGACACACAGATAAAGACACACAGATAAAGACACACACATGGAGACACACAGATAAAGACACACACATGGAGACACACAGATAAAGACACACACACATGGAGACACATAGATGAAGACACACACATGGAGACACACACATGGAGACACACAGATAAAGACACACACATGGAGACACACAGATAAAGATACACACATGGAGACACACAGATAAAGACACACACACATGGAGACACATAGATGAAGACACACACATGGAGACACACACATGGAGACACACAGATAAAGACACACACATGGAGACACACAGATAAAGATACACACATGGAGACACACAGATAAAGACACACACACATGGAGACACACAGATGAAGACACACAGATAAAGACACACACATGGAGACACACAGATAAAGACACACATGGAGACACACAGATAAAGACACACACACACACATGGAGACACACAGATAAAGACACACACATGGAGACACACAGATAAAGACACACATGGAGACACACAGATAAAGACACACACACACATGGAGACACACAGATAAAGATACACACATGGAGACACACACATGAAGACACACACATGGAGACACACAGATAAAGACACACATGGAGACACACAGATAAAGACATACACATGGAGACACACACATGGAGACACACACATGAAGACACACACATGGAGACACACAGATAAAGACACACACATGAAGACACACACATGGAGACACACAGATAAAGACATACACATGGAGACACACACATGAAGACACACACATGGAGACACACAGATAAAGACACACACATGGAGACACACACATGAAGACACACACATGAAGACACACAGATAAAGACACACACATGAAGACACACACATGGAGACACACAGATAAAGACACACACATGGAGACACACACATGAAGACACACACATGGAGACACACAGATAAAGACACACACATGGAGACACACAGATAAAGACACACACATGAAGACACACACATGGAGACACACACATGAAGACACACACATGGAGACACACAGATAAAGACACACACATGGAGACACACACATGGAGACACACAGATAAAGACATACACATGGAGACACACACATGAAGACACACACATGGAGACACACAGATAAAGACACACACATGAAGACACACACATGGAGACACACAGATAAAGACACACACATGGAGACACACACATGAAGACACACACATGAAGACACACACAAGATCATCATCATCAGTCAGGACTTCTGAGATCTGTTTCTTAAGGCCCGGACACACCAAGCCGATTTCGGCCGTCGATAGATGTCTGGCCGTCGGTGAGCGTCCTACTCAGATTGGTGTGTCCCGCCCCGTCGTGTCTTTTCAGCCGTGCCGACACCTTCCACCCCCGATTCAACATGTCGAATCGGGGGGCTGTCGGCAAAATAAATCACTCTGATTGGCTGTTCAGCTTAGCGAATCAGTGCATGAGAAGCTAAACGGAAGTGAAGAAGGCACACACAGACGGCTATTATTTTTCATTTTCATCTCACCTGGACGCAAGAATTTATTTTACATCATGGCGATCTGGAATGAAGAAACCGAAGACCAACTCAGTTGCCACGTAATTTGACAGGACTCTGGACGATGTGGCTATTTATTTATTTTTATTGTATAAGGCTACTTACTATTTCTATCTTATTGTATTGTAGTCGATAGTTTACATTGCACAGTTCTACATCTGATAATAAACCACTTTTTACGGCTACTGCAAAATACAAAATTTTATTTCGTACCTTCATACTACAGCCATTAGATAACACAACATTAGAATGAGGATAAAATTAGCTATACTACAATAAAAGTCAGAAGATACAGATGTACATGATGATACATAATTTGCCTGTCAGCATTATAATGTTGTATATTAATTAGGGCTGTCAAGTTAACGCGTTAATAACGCAATTTTTTTATAAAAATTCGAGTTTAAAATACCATCTACAAGCTGATGCTGACAGCCCCGCTCCTGCTGCCTGCTTGTGGCAGACCACACTTCCACGCTCACCGACAGGCACCGACTGGCCATCGGGAGGACCGGGAGGGTGTGTGTATGTGTGACTCGAGCGAGAGAGAGACCTTACGTGTATTGTTGTTGTTAGCATCTGGTGCTAGCTAGCTGCGCTAACGGATATAAGGAGCTGTTTAAATGAAAACAGAGGAGCGACATTTCGCCGACAACTGCTCCGAGCACTTGACTTTATGCAGGAAGCCAGACAGTGGGACATTGTACGATAATGAGAATATTTGTCATTGTTCAAATGATAATAAACATTAGCATAAAGCATATTTGTCCACTCATATGTTGATAAGAGTATTAAAAACTTGAAAAATATTCCTCTAAGGTACATTTAGAACAGATAAAAAATGTGCGATTAATTTGCGATTAATCGTGATTAACTATTTGAATCGACTGACAGCCCTAATATTAATATATTCTTGGATTATAATTACTGATGCATGGAATGTGGTAGCAGTAGTACTTTAAGGTTGCCAGCCACAATGCTTAAATAGTTTCTTTCTGCTTCAGAGAGCTGAAGTTTGTATATATATATATATATATATATATCACGCAGTCTGGGTGTTTCTCAATCTCGAGTACGCTTGCTTGGTAGCACATGTCTTCCGAGTCACTTGCTTCAGAAGCGAGGCAAGAACACTTCATTGGGCATTCGGAAAACGAAGAGTGGAACAGGTGAGCAAGTGTGCAGGTGTGCGTCATATGAGAGGCCCCGCCTTACATTTTCCACCACAGATTTTACTCGACATTGAGAAACACCCTCTGTCTTCCGGTTGCCTCTTTTGAATGACGAATACACATTACCGCCGCCTGCTGGTAAGGAGAGTTATTGCTACTCAAGCATGCGCAGTTCGTAAGTGCTACTTGGCCGTCAGCTGAAGTCTTTGCGGTGTGTTCCAGTGCGACTGTTGGCCAAGACGCAGGAGACGTGAGGCGACACAACAGTCGGGTTCGTCTGTGTGAGTTCTTTGGTGTCAGCTTGGTGTGTCTGGGCCTTTAAAGCCCAGCGTCCTGGACAAAAGGAAACTAAACCTTCGCAGCAGCTGGCCCGAGGCTCTGGAACACTCTGCCCCTCCATGTGAGGTTGGCCCAGACCATAGGGGTTTTTAAATCTACTCTTAAGACACACTTCTTCTCCCTGGCCTTCTAGTCAGAGCGGAGCACGACTCCTGACTTTTCCCTGTGTTTTTTATATCTGTTGTAATTTATTGTCTTTTATTGTGATTGTAGTAATGTGTTTTTATTACATGTACAGCACTTTGGCTCGACCAAAAAAATCGCTTTTAAATGTGCTTTATAAATAAAACTTGATTTGATTTGAAACCTAATCTATTTTTTGATCATTCAAAATCAGATCTATTTATCCCGGCAAGTTTGAGGAAGTTGCAACAAGTGTTAAACACACTTTATTATTTTTGAATTAAAAATCTAACGTTGAGCTTTAAAGGATCTACAGCACGTTCACAGGTCAGGACTTCACGTCACCAACGCTAAGCTATAAGCGGCTAATGTTGGCCGTGATGATGTTTATTTATTCACCAGTGGGGTATTTACTGACGTGTTTTATGTTGTAGAACAAAACGCAATAATCTCTTCCGCTTCCGGTAACCTTATAGGGCTTTTATTGTGAAAGGTAAGGAACAAAAGGAGTGGAACTGGTTAAAAGGAGAAAGGGAGTTTTCATTTTCTTCCGTTTTTATATGATGTTTTTCTGTTTGATGCCTTTATTTGTGAAGCGAAAGCTAAGAAATAAAGTAAGAGAAAGAAAAAACATATTTTTTTATGAAACGTGTGAACTGACCCTTTAAAGCACACAGGTCAGGGGATAATTTAATTCGAAATTCAATATTTTGAGGAGCCAATTTCTCACTTTAATTAAATTAACAAGTCCTTCATATTAAACTGACCTCAGAGCGTCTCTCTCTGGATCCACTGTTTACACTGAATCACACCAGAGGGAATCTGAGTGTGTGTGTGTGTATGTGTGGTCTAGCATTACTATTCTTGTGGGGACCTACATCTGTTTACATAGTCACGTGTGGGGACTGGCTTCCCTTATGGGGACAAATTGGAGGTCCCCATGAGGGGGATCATTAATTTTAGGGTGAAGACTTGGTTAGGGTTAGGGTAAGGTTAAGGGTTAGGGTTAGGGTAAGGGTTAGGGTTAGGGTTAGGCATGTGTTGGTTATGGTTAAGGTTAGGATAAGTCTCCAGGAAATGCATGTAAGTCAATGTAATGTCCCCTGAAGTGATGTATACATGCTATGTGTGTGTGTGTGGTGTGTGTGTGTGTGTGTGTGTGGTGTGTGTGTGTGTGTGTGTGTGGTGTGTGTGTGTGTGTGTGTGTGTGTGCGTGTGTGTGTGTGTGTGTGTGTGTGTGTGTGTGGTGTGTGTGTGTGTGGCGTAGTGGATTGTCCGTGGTTGTTCGGATCAGGGGGGCACAGGTTCAAACCCCACTGCAGTCAGCATGTCGTTGTGTCCCTGAGACACTTCACCCCAAATTACTCCTGTGGGGATTGCCCACAGTATTGAGTATGTAAGTCGCTTTGGATAAAAGGGTCTAACAAGTAACAATTAATGTGTGTGTGTGTGTGTGCGCACATTTCTCTCCGAAGATCCACCTCTTGTGCATGCTGGTGGTGAAGAAGATGGGCGCCTGAGTGACGCACATCAGCAGGTCGGTGATCGCCAAGTTAATGATGAATATGTTGGCCGGGGTCCTCAGACTGCGACTCCTGAAACACACACACACACACAAATTAAGCGTGCTATATATAAACACAACAAATATTATTTCAGTGAAGTCTAAATGCTTTCATCCTAGGTCAATGTTTTGAAGCACTACTATGGAATGTGGCAATTAAAAGTGTTTTATAAATAACGCCTTTTAGGATTTCTATTGTTATGGCTGCAGAGATTTCCAGAATAAGAGCCCACTCCTTTTGTGACTAAACAGGAAGTTGCTGTTTGTCATGAAGAGGAGTCTGAATGGAAAAATCACTTGTGTTGCTCCAGCTCTAAAATCAATAAACACTCGCCACATCTGAAAGTAAAGAGCGATCAATACGAAGATAAAACAGTGTGTGGTCGGTAACAGCTGCAGGTCGAAGGTTAAACTTTCCGCAGATTTAAAAGAAGAACTGTGACTCCATCACACCTGTTCATCACACAGGTGAGTCACACAAAGCTCTGGACAGTTTACACCTCAAACACACGACACCTGTTGCCCTTACTTACAACGCCTACAAGAAATAAAGGTCCTTTTTTTTCACAAATTCACAAAAGGAGTGCACAGCTTTTGTTGATTCTAAACCTGCACAAAAGAGAAAAGTGTTGTGTCTCGTCAAGTTAATGTATTTAGTTCAGTCTTGTATCCTGTTTTATTTTGTAGTAACCTTTCCTTCTTGTTGCAGATTACCTCACTTCCTCCCTTTGTGTGTTTTCCCTCCACTGTGATTGTCGACCCCGCCCTAATTGTCTGCACCTGTGCCCCCTTAGCCTGCCTGTATATAGATTCTGCCTCCCTTGTCTTGTTGCCAGTTCATTTCGTCCCATGTGCCTGACAGCCAGCGTGAAGTCCATGGGTGCGTCTCACTTCGGTCATTTTTCATTTCCTCGCTCCTCGGGCTCGGTATCACCGGAAGTTGATTTGTCTGCGCCATCTTGAGTACCGTCCCAGTGGCCTTATTTTTGGAGTGATAACGGAGGAGCGATAATCGAGGAACTACCAGACCATCCTCTGGTGAAATCCTCATACACTCGCTCCGCCCCCTTACTGTGTATCGCTCACTGATTGGACGATGCAGCGCATGCACTGATCTGGCTGCTGTCAGACGATCAGCTGTGCGGCGTCATCACAAACGGACGTCGTTTCACGTGACGCTCCGGAGGAAACAACGTCCCATTGCTCTTAAAACTCATTTCCCTGCTTCTCGTGGTTTCCTTGCGTCTCTCTTGCATGAGAGGGACTAGTCGCAGGGAAACGACGCAAGTGAGGGACGCAAGGAATCCATTTAACCGAAGTGAGATGCAGCTCCTGTCTTTCTGCTAAGAGCTAAGAACCGAGTTTTGGAATTGACTTTATCCTTCACATTTTTGGAACTACTCTGTTAACCTTTTCCTCGTAAGAGTGTTTTTTGTTACCTTACCCTGTTACCCCTACGGAGAGCACATAGTGCCATTTTTTTTTTCAGTAAAGACTTTCTTTTGTACTTTGTTTGTCGAGTCGTGCTTTTGGGTTCATACTGGTTTGCCTAGCCGTGACAAAAAGGAAACTGTGTAATTTAAATATATTGTTTATATTTTATTATGTCATTAGTAGTCCTCTTTGGACAATGTACTTATTGAAAACAAAATGCAATACCTTGGAAAATGCCGTTTAATACTTTTTAATAGCCTTCATTTTTTGCTAAATTGATTTATTTACTTTTTAAGACCCCGCGGACAGCCTGTGTACTTTATCTCCGTTCTTTTTCTCCATCAAGTTTTTGCTTTGGGAACAGTACCTTCCTGCTAATACAACACATCCTCACTCCCAGGTCGGCCTATGTTGACGTTATGTCAAGTCCCCTGTCGGCTTTTTCCAACGCAAGGGGGGGCCCTTAGCGTCCATTTTCAGCTTTCCGGGATGTCCATATGCTTCTATGGACGCTCATGGAAGCACGGCGTTCGTTTGTGTCGACTGCCCTTAAAGGCAATGTGAGCATCCATTCTCATTGGATAACGGAGAATTGTACACCCGGAAGTAAGTATTCCCCTTACTGTCGATTGATTTTACAGTGATATCTGCACTACTCATCGACTAAAAAACACCAGATTATCCTTGTTAATTACACAACATTGATTGGTTTACATTGTGTGCAATGCTTTTGTATTTTTCCCCTTCGATTCAACTCGAGGAACAAATGTTTTTTCGGAGTGAAGGATGGCAGAAGACACTACACTACCCAGAATCCCCAGCTATCGTTTGGAAAGTATTTGAGCTATATCTCTGACAGTGAGGGCCAGCCTACGGACACCACGAGGCCTGTCTGTGAGACATGTTTTAGATCCCAACAGATCAAACTTGGCTAAGCACCCGCCGACTGGCATCCAGAGCTGTTTAAAGAATTTAAAGACAGACAGGTTAGCGAATGTGATAGATAACATAATTACATCATGCTCAAGCCCATGCCCTCAAATCTAAGTCAAACAAGTGTAATTTATTTTGTGACAAACGAACGTTTTCGTAGTTTGACGAGGCAATTAATGGCAATGATAACTGTCTAATATGGGTATCTTTTTAGCTAACTTACCAATGTGGCTAACATCTGCAATGTACATTTTGTCAATAATTATTTATATTACTGTACTATTACATGTTAAAGGTCCCATGTCATGGCCATTTCCACTGATCATAATTCCATTGTTGAGGTCTACTAGAATAGATTTATACTGTGCAATTTTCCAAACTCACATTGGTTTCGCATACAGCATCTCTGTAAAGTATGTGTATTCAGCAGTATTCACTCTCTCCACTAAACGGCTCGTTGCAGCTCTTGCCCCCCCCCTTCCATGTGCTCCGATTGGTCGGGACCAGTCGGGACGTTGTGAATCGCGCTGAGCTCCGTGGAGGTGTGATTTCCTTGTTTAGCGATACACATCGAAACACAGCCAAACTCAACCTGAGCACACACAAAGTCACAGCCGCATAAAACGTTTGTACAGCTCAGAGGAAGCGTGCGACCTTATTTGGGCGCAGGAAGTTGTCGTATGTTGTAGTTGAAAATAAGATTTGTTTGTCTCAGAAATTAAAGGTCACCTATTATGCAAAATCCTCTTCTTCATGTCTCTTCTACATCAACATGTGTCCCCTCTTCTTCATGTCTCTTCTACATCAACATGTGTCCCCTCTTCTTCATGTCTCTTCTACATCAACATGTGTCCCCTCTTCTTCATGTCTCTTCTACATCAACATGTGTCCCCTCTTCTTCATGTCTCTTCTACATCAACATGTGTCCCCTCTGTGGAAAGAGACTCTGAAAGTTTCAGGAACAAAGATTCTCTCTCTTTTTGTCCTGATCCATTTCTATAAAAACCTGTCTGAAAATGAGCTGATCAGATTTTGGCCACTTTATGATGTCATAACGATGTTTTGTCTTGAGTAACCATTAGCCAATCACCAACCAAGGTACCCCCCCCCCCTCCTTATCACCTGAATCTCCTCCTAGAGCACCTTTGAGTTCTTTTTAACCAAATATCTCTCAGAGGGGCGTGGGGAGGGGCTCCTTATTTTCATCTAAAGTAACAGACGGAGGCCCAATCCCAAACCACCCCCTCGACCCTACCCCTCCGTGGCGGAGTGAACTCCGTCTGCAGCTCAACGAGGCTCCCTCCTGTCAGATGGAGGGAGTAAATACAGCAGCAAGCTTTGGGACGGCCTCCCCTCTCTCCGGCAGAAACAGGAAATGCCGTAACTGTATGTAACAACGGTTTCAAATCAGCATCTCTTAGACAAAAAGTTTAAATTAAGAACTAAAATAAAACTCCAAACATCTTTCATTGTGTTTCAAAGCTCTTTTAGTTTTAAACCTGATGTTTATAAGCGTCTTAGTTTTTGCAACGGTCTGTAAATATACACAACTTTATAATAAAATGCGCAATTTTACCTTTTTCTAGACTAAACACAGGTATGATCATAAGTTAAAAACATATGAGGTTATCATGAGGTTGTTAACATCGCAATTTATCAGTGGATGTTTGCTGGAACTACTTGTTAACAGCTTGTTTCCTGACGGACACACACAGCGTGACTCCGGTCAAGTGGAGACCGGTCTCAAGTCAGCATCGCTGCAGACTCGCTGTTTGAGGGCTTGATAGCCCACTCCCCCTCCACACTCGTTGCTTTGGAATAGCCCTTAATATGGCGGACCCTCCGTGTGAACGCGCAAACGGAGGGGTAGGGTGTAGGGGTAGGGTGTAGGGCAGGGGTGCCCAACCTTTTTTGAACCGAGAGCTACTTTTAAAGTTGCCAGTCTGCCGAGATCTACCAGTCCAAATAGAGAGGCGTAGCCATTTCTGACAGCCTACTACCAGGTATAAATACACACTTCTACTTGTATAAAACTGACCTTTGTACGATTACTACTTCATAAAATACTGCAGATCCTTTATCTTACCTCTTTCTAATCTACACACATACAAGTATTCAACTGAAGTTACACAACAGTGTTGTTGATACAGAGTTGGAGTTTATTCACACGTCACTACAGTGGGTAATGTTTTCAAGAAACATTGAACAGTGCTGCCACATATGACACAGGAAAAAAAGAAAAGACTCTGAACCCTTTCTTTGCCATTATATAAAAATAGTGTTGCTACAAAAATATAAATTAGGCTTACTAATAAGACAACTCAGATCTGAAGCTACACAGGAATCTGCTGCCAAAGTGCAATAAAAAAAGATTATCTAAAAAATGTATAGAATCAAACCCTTTTTTTGCTGCATTTTAGTAGAGTATAAAAAGAAATGCCTTTAAAATAGGATGCAAGCAACTCTAGTTTCTTAACCTGAATTGATAATAGACTATAATCAATTTAAGTTTGCATTCTTATACCATTTTGTACAATAATTATAATGAATAAGTTCAAACTTACAGCTGATTAATAACGGTATCTAACTTTAGTTTTTATTATATCAAAAACCTGTTGAAATGCTACTGTTATTTTTTACTGTCCCCAAAAAGCGCATCGGCAGCCTCCAGGAATGCTTCTTTCACAACTTCGCCGTCTTTGAAAGACTTCATGTGTTTCGCAAGAACATGACTGACACGATAAGATGCTATGGTAGCAGCCTTGCTCTTGTTGTTGGGCCTGGTGAAAATGGACTGCTGTGCATTTAGCTGTCCTTTCAGGCCCCTCCCCTTTTGGAGCGTAGGGCAGAATTAGGAGGGAATTCCGTCTCATCGCGTTTGTGCTCCTAAATTACTCTTCTTCGATAAAGCCACGCTCGCATTGCAGATGAGACAGATGGACTTTGAATTGGAATAGATACAAAAATAATCATCCTCCCACTCGGAGTGAAAATTATATATTTTGGGCTCTTTTGCTTCTGCCATAATTGCGGTCTTGTGTGTGTGCGGACTGTCACTCCTGTTGACACGGACAACGTCAGCGAAATAGTGCCCACCAGCCCACACATGGGGTCACGTCGGCCAATCACAAAGCTTTGATGCGTTCAAGTGCATTATTCTGGCACAGGAAGATTATGTCATAGGACATTAACGATAAAACCGAATATTGTTGTTCTATTTTTAGACACATCTCGCGATCGACTGGGAATCTCCCCGCGATCGACTGGTCGATCGCGATCGACTGGTTGGGCACCCCTGGTGTAGGGTGTAGGGGTAGGGTGTAGGGGGCGGTTTAAAATGGGCCTGAGAATCAGCACTTTTGAAACAGGGCTGAAACAGAGGGGATTATGGGATGCTGCAATGATCTGTTTGGTGTTTGGAGCCAAACACTTCAGAGAAATGTTCTGTATATATCTGAGAGCTGTAATATATTGATGAAAAATAGTATAATAGGGGACCTTTAAAGAAAAAATAGAAGAATAACACTTCTGGCAGTCCTACCTGCTGAAGGCGTAGATCACCAGGAGGTTTCCGATCATGCCGGTGATGCCGATGGCGAGGATGACCGAGCCAATGGTGTAGTGCGCGTGGTCGGGAACGTCCACCGTGGGGAACGGGTGCGGAGCCTCGTGCGCCATCGCCACCTGGTGGACAAAACAGGAAGTGAGAAAAGAGACGAAGCTTCAGTTTCACAGCACCATTTGAAAGGTAAGAAAACAGGCTTTCCAACGGTATAAAATGTATTGCCAAAAAGCATT